ATGAGTACTATTGTTCTTGCACTTCATAAATCTGCAGAAATGCTGTTTACGCAGCAAACATGTTTGAAAAGTGAACTTTATGGCCCACAGAAAGAAACCAACACTTCACATCATCCTGAAAACACCTTCTGCGCGGTGCAATGTGTTGTGGCAGTATCATGCAGTGGGGATTTTGCAGGAACAAGCAAGCCGTTAAGAGTTCGTGGGAGGATAGGTTCATCTAAATACAGAGCAATCCTAAAAGAAAACCTATTGGAGGCAGAGGTTCACCACCCAGCGGGACGTTGACCCTGAACAGTCAGAGCTGTTTATATCCAGAGTTTATATCAATGCATTTTCATGTGGCGGGATGGTCCAGTCAAAGTCCAAATCAGAATACCATTTAGAATTTTTTTCTACAGATACTCTATATGCAATCTTACTGAAATAGAGCTGACAAGCTAAGAAGAATTAGCAGCAATTCCAGTCTGTAGGTTTGCAAAGCCGGGAGAGAGAGAGACCTACAACTAAAGACTGTAACTGGAGCAAAAAGTTGGTTCTACAAAGTATTAACTTAGGAGGGAACAATCATGTATCATTTTTGTTCCAAATTATAATGTATCTGCTGCAATGTGTTGGTCCTTCCCACAAAAGCCTCCCACCTGATAGACTGACGTTTGTTGTGGTAATATGATAAAAATCTGAGGGTTGTCCAAGGCAGGATGGCAACCAATTATATGATTAGGTTCTCTTTGAGACAAATCTGTAACCAGCTCTGTTAGATGTAGAAGCTTCATCGCCACGTCACCCGTCCTAATAACTCAGTGGACTTTGCTTGTGTGTGTTTAAATATGGGCTGGGCGTTAAGTAAATCCTGAGGTCATATTTGCTGTGCATTTGTTCATTGTATCATCTGTGTGTGTGTGTGTGTGTGTGTGTGTGTGTGTGTGTGTGTGTGTGTAAGGAGGGCAGGACAGGACACAAGGCAGGGCGTTGTATCTAGACCAGCAGCCCCAGTTATTTGGAACAAAAGCTCAGTTGTTGATAGATCATGTGACTGTGTGCATGTGTGTGTGCGTGTGTGTGTGTGTGTGTGTGGGTATGTGTTCCTCCCTCATCATGTGATGCAAGCTCGAGGCAGGCTCTGAGAAGTGCTGAGTCGAGTCTGAGAGGATCCTTCCACCGAGGGAGCAGGCAGGCATGCGGGAAGGGAGTGGAGACGGCCGTCCACACGGCTGGATGGACGGGTGTCGGATGGAGAAGACGGAAGCGTGCGGTGTGGTTTCTCTTGGCTCAGACGGGAACCGTCAGATGTCGAGTCTCTTTGCCTGTTTTTGGACTTCGAGCAGGAAAAAAGTGAAGATGCAGTGCTTCATTTCGAATCCACATGTCAGTGACGAGGCAAGTTTGGGCTTGTTCTGTTATCCGTTTCGATGCTTTCATTGGGATTTCGATTTGGAAAACTTTTGCGTTTTCAGCACGACCTCAACTCCGCCGCTGATTCACCACCAACCGAGAACGTTTAGAACAATGCTGTGCTTCGTATCACTTCTCACTCTGGTGGGAAGGACGCAGTGAACTGGCCACTGACACATGTAGCTGTTTTCCACCGTGCTCCAAAATATCTTTTGAAATTTCTGAAATTACCCACATGACTCACCGTTAACAGGCCACGGTTATTCATTCCTGTAATTTTCCTCTGCTGAAAGAAATGCTTTAAAACCAATGCAGAGGCGTTTTAGATGAGCTGCGGTTAGACAGCCGCGTGTCCTCAGTCATCTTGCAGGACTTGTATTGCTTGTTTGATTGAATGCAACCTGCCTGAGCGACCCTGCAGCTGACTGTTGGGTTTGTCTTTGCTGTTGCCCGCATTTTGATGTTAGCTATTCATTTTCCATCTGTACATTTGTCCATCCGTCTTACAGTTGTTAGATTTGACCCCTCATCATAGATCGCATGCAGGACTCTGCCCGCTGACACACCCTTTAACTCTGTATCTGTTTCTTATTGACTTCTCGCTGCACGGAGCAACATTTCACAATCTCAAACTGCCTGTTGAACTTTTTTCATGGTTGAAAGAGCCACTTTACAGTAAACGTGCAGAGTTTCCTTTGACTCATAGTAAAGGGCTTAAAATAGTCATAAGTTAATAAATAAATGAAATTATTGGGAGCCTAGACCTGTGCATATGTGATGTGACTGATTACACCCTTTTGGTGTAATTGTTTCTCCCTATCTTAGGTGTCTTTCATCCCTGGTTAGTACAGAACTTGTTTCATTGCGAATAACGACACGCTACTTTAGCCAGCATCTTTTTTTAAGGATCTTTTCTTCTCCTTTGTTCTGTGATTGATACTCCCTTTCCCATGCTTCTTGTACAATTGTTTCATTGCTTAAAAAGACTAATATGGCACCTTAGACATCTGAACATTATGTCCAAGGATGAACCAGACTTGTGGAGGTCTGTTTGTCTTCCTGAAATCTTGACTGACTTCTGTTGTTTTTGTCCATGACTTCACAAAATGAAGCTTTGTGAATGAGGCAGTGCCTTAAAATACATTCCCAGGTGTGCCACCAGGTAACCCCAAGGTTGTGAATTGACCAATCAGAAGCCTACAAAGGCATGACACTGTAAACTGGGATTCTCCAAGTTGGTTAAAGGCGCAGTAATCTTAGTGTATTTAAACTTTTGACATTGAAAAAGGTAATAAAAAATTATCTCTGTCATTGTTCTAAGATTTAGCAAATGGGAATAATGACTCCAATCAGGAACGGTTTAGACTTATTTAATGTCAGACAATGAGAAACGAATGGTTATGTATCTTTTTTATCTCAACATCTGGTTGAAACTGTGAGATCTGAGTCCATCGTTGGTTTTTTATGATGCTGAATAATTGAGCTAATATCATGTTGGTCTCAGGAGCACAGCATGGCTCATCCATTATACAGCGGTTAGTGTAACTGAGCGTGTTTGAGGAGTCTGTACGATCAAGCTGGTGCAGTGAGTTTGTAGGAAAAAACATGTACATTCTCTGGACTGTGCATTCATTTTACATCCTGTTGGGGTTTTTTTAATCATAGTTTTGTATCTATTTTAACCCAGGTATTTTATTTTATCAAAAATATTTCAGTGCAAGATTATTTTAGGTAGTGTTTTAACTGTGAAGAGGAAAAACGTATTCTTTTGTGTTTACGCTCTTCTTTGGTTTCAGAAATAAAAGGAATGCTTTCAGACCTTTACAAATTAAAGAATTTGTAAGGGTCTAGCGGCCTATTACTTAAACCAATGCCGGTTTGTTTGCTGAACTCATGTAATGAAATTTCATTACGGAAGACTATAATTAAAATGTCAAAAAATTACATTTAACCATTCGTTGTCAAAACATTGTCAAAACATCCCCCTGGTTATCATGAATTCATGTGAAACATCCCAGTAGCAGATGGTCATAATTACAAAGGTACAAAACTGTTTGGTATGAGGGAAGTTGATGGACCTGCACATTGTCCTGATCGAACACTATTGTGACGAATTGGAGCGGAGATGGCAGGCCAGACCTTCTCATCCAACATCAGTGTCTGACCTCACAAATGTGCTTCTGGAATAATGATTCCAGTGGAAGGCCCTCCCTAAAAACTTGAAGATGTCATAGTTGTGAAGCGTGGGCAAGCATAATGTCAAACTTTATGGATTAATAACATGAGGGCAAATCATCTCGAAAGTTCACAGTTGGAGAGCTGGAACGTCATCATAATAGTCCTTTGATTTTAAGGGTTTTGTACACAGCTTGTATTCCAGTAATATTAATAACCTATTCCTGTGCTTAACAACTTGGCAGAGGAAGTTTAGATGAGAAGTATTAAAGGTGTCACACATTGTCTAACTAAAGGTTGCTGCTGCACTGAACAGGCACCCAGAGCTGGTTCCTAGCAACTGTTACCGTCGCTCCAGCTCACCCTATCTGGACACTGTTCTTGTGTTTGATGTAATGACTTGGCTTTCCCTCAGCGCTTCTCTTCCTGTAACAGCAGACAGGCTGAAGCCACTCAGGGAGAGATGGAGATCAGATCTCTGCTTTTGAGCCCACTGTTAGAAAGACACAGGGAGATCTTAACTGTACTAAGTAGTCATCATTCTCAATGGTAGGGAAATCTGTTATTTCTTCCCAGTGCATTTAATACGTATTAATGTAGTTTGCTTGTTTTTTCAGTGGCTGCTGTTCTCGACATTAGCCGAGGTCACCAGGAGGAGGGGCTGTGTCTCCTTACCCCAGGGGAGAATGAATCATGACGTCAGTGGTGCTGGTTGACACTGGTGGGACGATGGTGGAGTATGTCACAGCTGAAGAAGATCCTCAGCAGGTGGTTGTCAGACAAGAGTCAATCCCTATCTAATACTAGTGCTATATTGTAAACGACGGGGCTTAATTTTTTTCTTCCATTTCCCTCCTCAGGAGGGAGTGTATGAGGCTGACGCGGAGCTGGAAGGAGAGGTGGAGGATGAGTATGAAGCAGAGGAGGTCTGTGAGGAGCTGGAGGAAGTAGAGGAGGCTGATGAGGACATAGCAGTCGTAGTGGAGGAGGCGCCCACTGCTAGCCGGCTGGATGAGCAGGGTTACTCCGCCCAGGTGGTGGTGTATGGGGATGAAGCCTACGTCATGCAGGAGGTGGAGACGGAAGGAGAAAGAGGTGGGATGTTAACATTTTTAAGGAGCGTTTTCGTTTTGCCAAATCTGAGCCAATCGGATCGACTTTAATGCAAGAAATGTTCATCTTGCACAAACTTCAGTGCACTTCATTGTGATTTTTATGAGACAGACCAACACAAAAGAAGTGTATAATTGTGGAGTTGAAGGAAACTGGGGCATGAACTCAAAATTCTTTTACAAATAAAAATCAGTAGTTTGTATGTAACCCTGGCAGATCTCCCAGCTCAGTGAGGCTGGATGGTTGGAGAGTGTCGGTGAAGTGTTGCTGAAGATTCGTGATTGGACTTACATCAGGTCTTGTCTGTGAGTGGGCTATTCAAACTCATGCATAAGCTTTGATTTAGCTCTGGCTCTATGTTCAGGGTCAGTGTCCTGCTAGACGTTGAACCTCCAGCCCAGGCTGAAGTTGTTTGCAGGTTTTCTTGCCCAGTTTTTATCCCATTACCTCTGACCAGTTTTCTCTCTCTCTATTGAAGAAGGAGATCCCAACAGCTTGTTTCTGCTACCACCAGGTGTCACCACGGGGAGATCTCTGGAGCTCCTCCAGTTATCATTGGGTCTCTTTGGCTGCTTCTCTGACAAGTGTGATTTACGATTAGTGGAATATGTGGGTCTGAATCACAGTTTTTATATTTTGATTTGTAAAAAACGTAGAAACCACATGTCATTTTCCTTGTGCTTCACAATTACACACTTCTTTGTGTTGGTCTATCATATGGAATCCCAATAAAATCTACTGAAGTCTGAGGTTGTAATAGCAATAATGTGCACATGATACAGAGTGAAAGGGCCATCTTAAACTTTAGTTTTAGTCTCTGATTTTTTTTGTTTGTTTGCTAAATGCATCAGAGGAGATGATCCAGAAAAAGCAGGCTGTAAAAGCTGACAGACCTTGGTGTTGTTAGGTCGCCACCTTGTGGATAGAATTTAAATAGTTGATGCATAAACAAGAACAGATTTACCAACCTGATGTTAATTAATAGGTCAGTAGTTAATCTGTTAATGTCAGTTAGTTTCTGAATGCATTCAGAAACTAACTGGCATTAGTTAGTTTTGCTCTTTCTTCTGAGCATATGTTAGCAGAATATAAAATGATTGCCAACAATTGTTTTTGCTTATTTAGTAGCTAAAATTTAGATTAATAAAATATTATTTTTTTGCTAAAGCAGTTTGCTGCTCACCAAAAATTAAACTGCTACTCCATGAAACTTAAACAAGTCATGGTTCTTTAGGTATTTTTTGCTTTGGTTAAATTAGAAAACCAATAACTTTAAATTGACCCATATTAACAATGGATTTTTGGGGGGGTTATTTTTGTACTGTGCATGTGAGTGGGTAATTTGATGATTTTGTGATTTTTACCATTTGGTACTTGTTCGGTGCACATATTTTTGGTAGGAGAATGTTTTCCATTGAACATAGGTATGTCTCTTCCTGCCTTGGGAATGTTTTCTATGGCTTTATAAATAAAGTTAAACTGATTTGTTTAGAGCTTCTCCGATCAATCAGCCGGAATCTATCAAACAGTTTTTCCCTTCTTGTTCTTTAGCTCCTCTGTAAATTTATTAAAACTAAAAACTTTTTTAATTTTATGCCAAAAAATGCATTAACCAATTTAATGTTTACTCTGCTAAAATGGTTAGTTACATAAGATTTAATGCATAAAAAAGGGGGAAAAAAACAGTAATTCTTTCCTATTCTGTTTGACTTAATATTCTTTCCATTGTCAAAGAACTTAGCATATTTCTTCTCTTTTGTAATATATTAATAACATTAAAATAACAATAAAAATAAACTGTACAAAAATGTTCTGGAAATTGGCCAATAAAAGCTTGGCTAGTGAATCTCCAGATTTGTAATTAGTTTGTAAGCAATTCATCTGCTTCTGGTTGTGCTTGCTGTTTCAGATCCTTCTTTCAGTAAAATCTGCATTTTATCACTTTTCATAATTTCTTCAATTTGAACTTCATTATAAAATTTCAAATGTACTATTTTATATGTTTTTTCAAAATAAGATTGTAGTTCTGAGTTAGACGCTGAGATTAAATAAAGTTGTATGGTGGAAAAAAACAGCAGGTATTTTTGACGTATGAACTACGCAGCAGAGGGAGGGCGAAAAGAGGACTTCCTGTGTCGCTCGCGGAGGGATTTGTACATTCTGGCGTGATTCGTCTCGTTGAGATTTTGCCTCAGCTGCGGAGTGATCCAAACAGTGAGAAGTCAATGAGAATCTGCAGCGAGAGGTGGAAACATGGCGACTTCACAGCATGAGGGGCACGCAAACCAGCTCGATCTGCTCATCAGAGCCGGTAAGGTGTTTCCACGTATTGAAAACTCCGACTTTAGAACCGTGGTTGACGGGCGGCTTTTGTTTTTGAGGCTCGAAGCGCGGCGCTTCGGCCCGCCCGCCGCGGTGAAGCGATCAGGAAGTGATCACCTTGGTCGCAACCTGCATGGCGTTGCTCGGCGGCTATCAAAACCCGCTTTAAAAAATATAGCGAAGCTTGCAGCTGGATGTGTCAGTGTGCGCCCTCAGATAGCTGTGTGCACGAAGCGTGTTTTGCATGTTTTGGTTGGTTTTTGTCGGAGCTCGATGAATGTGAATAACGGTTCGGCGCTGCACAACCAGGAAGTGTGTAGTTGTTGTCTTTGCCACGCTGTCTGAGGCGGAAGGACATGTGGGTTTATTTTTACTCTGCAGCTACTAGATATAAATATGTTATGTAATTTATTACTCTTGTTTTTTTCCGTGAAGCTCATATATTTCTTTAATTTTAAAGTAAATCCTAACAATCCTAAATAGAGCAACACTCCTTAAAAAGTAGGCCCTTGTACTTTTAAAATTTATTTAGCAAATTTCAATGATTCTTGCTCAGACTTCAGCCTACTTTCCTCCAGTATTTCCCCAGATTTTTAAGTCTATATATTATGATCCTACAATCGCCGTTTATCGTGTTTTTTTCCCCAGCCTCCTTGTTGGACGCGTGGGACGGCCTGGCTGTGCTCGCTTTCTTCCACTACAAACGTCCAATCAGGTTTCAGCAGGGGCGGGTTCTTAGCTGTAGCTCGGCCCAATGGGAGGCCGCGGCGGGTGTTGAGTGACAGTGGGATTTGAGAGCTTCTTCGAAGAGAACTGGAGGGAAATAAAGAGGAGTGTAAACACGGAAGTCGTCAGAGGCAGAACTACTTTTTGTCGGACTTCCAGGGACATGATTATTACTGGGATCCACTCCGGTTCTGCGCTCATGTCTTGCATTAAAATCATATTTTTACGTAATACCGTTTTAATAACAGATGATTTAATTGCGGGGGAGGGGGGGAGAAAAAAGTAGAAGAGACTTTCGGGGTAGTATTTTAGCTTGACAGCGAATTCTTCCAACCCATTGTCTTTGTTTGAGAGAGGGTCTGAACGAGTGCAGCTGTCTAAAGATAGCCTGTTTCTGTCCCCTGCACTGCTAGATAGCCAAACATGGACAGGGCGTAATGCTTATCTCAGGTTTCCCACCGGTGATTGACAACAACAGCAGGTGCCCCCGGGGTCCCTCTCATGGTCCCAGTGGAGGCCAAACTTCCTTTAACAAAGCCTCAGTTTTACATTCTTGGAGAACTCAAACTATTTTGAACAGAATTATGATCAAACTTTGTTTTTCTTTTGCTAATAAATATTTCTGCATGCTTACACTGAAGTGCGGCATTATGCGAACTGGAAATGGGTGACGCACAGTTGTATTCGTGAGAGTATTGGGCTGAACTTGCACAAACAAAACTAGTTTTTAACTATCGGAATAGTGGACTGCAAAAGTTCTAACCTTTGAACTTTTCACATTTTGTCGCATCACTACCACTAATTTCAGCTGGTTTTGTAAAGATTTTTTTCATGCTAGGCCAACACAAAGTTTGCCGTAGTGGTGAAGTGTAATGGATAGGATTACAATATGTTTCTAATTAATAAAAACAATGCAAAACTTTAGATATTGTGCTCCTTCAGAGCACTGCTCAGTCTATCATCTGGGTGAGACAAGGGAGCAAAGCAGCAGAGATTATAGGCAACTCTGGGGTGCAGATTTTCCCATATTAACACAAAAACCTTTATTCATCCTCTCCTGAATGCTGACGGTTACAGAAGAGTGGCAAAAAAGAAAGCTCTAGAAAGTTGTTGCTGTATAGAGGAGAATGCTCTGGTTTGATGAGAAACTGAACTCTTTTTCTAAAATCTTGAGTAATCTGTGAAGAAGAAAAACCCAAGCTGTGATCACTTTGAATCCATCATCCTGACAGTTAAAGGTAGTGGCAGTGTTATGCTGTGGGGATCCTCTTATGCTGGATATTCAGGAATTTTATTCACACCTGTTACAGGCTGCAAAAGATTTGAGGCTGGAAGAAAATCCCTCAATGGATCTAGTTAAACACCAGACCTAAATTTATTTGAGAGTCTGTGGAAATAATTGAAAAGGAGGGTTTGCTGGGGGATGCTTTAAGATATTTATTAACTAATTCTGTGTTTATGTTGCAGTGGAGGCTTCTGGTTACAGCAATGTCCACTGCTCTGACAAAACCATCGAGGCGGCAGAAGCGCTGCTACACATGGACTCGCCGTCCAGCCTCAGAGAAGACCGCAGCCCAGGTAGCCGGAGTCTGGGATGCGCTGTTTGTCGTTTTTGCCGTAACTAATACAGAAATAGTTCAGCGCTTTGTTGTATCTGTGCTTGGAATATGAAATTACACTGGACTGTTCAAGAAATCTTAGTGAAATGCTTCAATCAATTTTCCTTTAAAACTTTTCCATTTCTTCTTTTAGAAGCTTTTACGCCACAAAGTGAAGCTGCACCAGACTTCCTCCACGCTGCCATGCGGCCCGACGTGATTGGAGAAACGGAGGTGGAGATTACCACCGAGGACTGCTGCGAGGAGGACGAGGAGGAGGACGAAGAGGAGGAGATGGTCACCTCACTAGAAGAGCCAGAACCCGACAACGAGCCTGTCAGAAAGAAGCGAGGTGCACAAACCCGGCGTCTGTTTCCTTCTCCATTCCCCCCCACCCCCCATGTTACTGTTTGAGCTACAAATGCTATTAGATTTTGGTGTTTGTGCTAAAACCTGAAAATATGGGTTATGAGCCCCAATCATATTATGTAAGCACACCATCTAGTGGTCAGCTAGAGCCATTAAACCCAATTCCTGGACCATGATCTAATAGGAATGACGTGGGGTGACGTCAACCATCCTGTTTCTGTGGCAAAACCAAGAATAAAGTCCGATGGTTCTGGGCAGGCAGACCTGCTCCCGGGTGGCAGAACTGGTCGACTCAATACAAGTGAAGCTGTTCTTAAAAACAGTGATTATACAACTGCATATTAGTTTGATTCACAGGAAGCTAACCCTTTAATAATTGATCAGTTTACATGGAAAATTTTGACAAAAACAATAGCTGCTGTTTTGTTTTTGTTTGTTTTTTTAAAAACAACCTAATATTCCTATGATTGTTTTTCCTCATTTAAATTTTGGGACACACTTCCTGTTTGATTAGTGTGTATTGAAATAATAGCAGTTAAAGGGATTTGGAACTTCACTCACTGTTTTAGATGCACTTGCTCTCATTATACGTGAAGGTGACCTCTTCAAAATGTTTGCTTTGTAGCTGGACGGAAAGCGAAGGCGCCCCAGTCGTCCATTTCTAACGGTACACCAGATCTAAGCTTCAAGAAGAAACCAAGAGAGGGCAAAGGTATGTCTTTGTTTAAATAACTCCTGCTTCAGCCAACACATTCCCCTCACAGATGCCTTCTGCTGCTTTTTTGTCAGACTTGAATGATTCAGATCAAGCTCATTTTAAGAACAGACAAACATTAAGTAGAATAAACAGAAATGTGGGTCAGTAAACGTGAGTCGAGGCTTTGTGTTCCTTTTGGTCGGCCGTGCTTTGGGCCTCTCTCCTTTCCAATGAAACCAAATCAGGTTGTTTGCCTGATTATAAAAATTTGTTTTACGATTTGACGCATTTCAGTGCGACCAAAAAGAAAAGAGAGAGAACCTGGAATGGGGCAAATGCTGTTCCACAACCCCGTCGATGAGCATATTTAGCCTAAATGTCGCTAACGTCACTTTGACTTTCAGCAGGTAGCACCACTTATCTATGGGAGTTCCTGCTGGACCTCCTCCAGGACAAGAACACCTGTCCCAGATACATCAAGTGGACCCAGAGGGAGAAGGGCATCTTTAAGCTAGTCGACTCCAAGGCCGTTTCCAAGCTTTGGGGTAAACACAAGAACAAGCCAGACATGAACTACGAGACAATGGGACGGGCGCTCAGGTAACCAGTCTGACGGATTTAAGGTTTAAGCTCAGTATGTGTCGTATTTTATTTTCAAATAACATTTTAAATCTTCATAATTCCTCTTATGTCAGATATTACTACCAACGAGGAATCCTCGCCAAGGTGGAGGGTCAGCGGCTGGTTTACCAGTTCAAAGAGATGCCTAAAAACATCGTCATCATCGACGAGGACAAGGCGGAAATGTCTTCTCCGGATGACCTCATGAGCTCAGAGTCGCAGTCGTCCTACGATCGCGTGCCTCCGCCTTCAGAGAGGTTGCTGCATAACGCCGAGCTGTCGTCTCCGAGGAGACCCAACATCCTGCGGGGCTCCAACAGACCCATCGTGGTCCAAAATCCTGCCGCCACAGTGAGCGGACCAGCGGTGATGGCGGCAGCGCCGAGAATAGTGACGGTTTCGGCAGCGCCCGACGTGAGCCAGACCATGAGCCAGATCCCGAGCGCCACAGCGCCGAGGTCAGAGTCCTGCCAGGAGACCGTAGCTTCCTCTGTGATGACACAGCTCATGCGAATATTTTTGAGTCCTCCCCCCCCATGCTAAGTGTTTTTCTGACTCGTCAACAGGACGGTTCGAGTGGCGATGCAGGTGCCGGTTGTAATGACGTCTTTGGGCCAGAAGATCTCCACCGTCGCCATGCAGCAGCCAGCAGGGACGACGGTGGCCCCGGGGCCCACCACCCTGCTCACCAACGCGTCTCCAATCGCTGCTGCTGCTAATCCGAATTCACAACAGAAGGTGAGTAGATGTGGACGTTTCCTCACAGACTGTACAGACTCTGTTTCTGCCAGCTGTGGGTTAAACATTTTTCATAAGGTATATTATTGCAAAACTTACAAATAAAATCTGATTTTAGTTTAATTAAACAAATCTTAGACACTGAGCCCTTGTATTTTAACATCCCTTTGGACACTAGTATGTCCAAAGGGACACAGACTATGAATGCAAAAAAAAAAATGAATAAGACTTATGATTAATTGTCGATTTAATGGTTTATTAGAAAACGGCTGCTTTTCAATTAATTTTTAGTTGATTAAGATCAGTCAGCGTTATATCAACTCATTAATGCATAGCCTGCGTCCCTGTAAACTGTGTATTTTACGGGATAGATCAGCACAAAATAGTACAATAAAAAATTGAAAAAATGGTTTTAAAATCTTGTACAAATGAAAATCATTTAAATCCTAATAAGTCATTAAAGTTTGTAGTTGTACTTTGCCGATGTGTAGAAGCTGAAGGGTTGTAAATGCCTCCGGCTGGTTCTGTATTTTTTGTGTGTGTTATTTTTACCTTTTTGACTAAAATGTTATTCCTTGTGAAGGTTGTGATCCAGACTATCCCGACAATGGTCCCAGCCACAGCGGAGAACGGAGACAAGATCACCGTCCAACTGGCCAAGATCATCACCATCCCAGCCCACCAGTTAACCCAGTGTCAGCTCCAGGCCTCCCCGGGGGCCAACAAACCCAACATGGCCGCCTCGTCGACGGGCATCAGCCTCCTGGGAAGCCCCCTGACGGTGCGAGCCCTCGCCCCCGTCAACGTCGCCCCGGGGGCGCAGGTGATGAGGCTCACCGTGCCGACGCAGACGCAACCGCAGACTCTGATGGTGTCGCCGCCCGGAAGCGTCGGCTGCGGCCAAGCGGTCGGTCAGGCCGTGGCGACGCAGCCGCGCGTCATCGGCGGCGTCATCAACGGTTCGGATTTGGTGATTGGCGGCCCGGGCGGGGTTACGGTGGAGAAGCTGAAGGCTGCAGGAGTGCAGGTCCAGACGGTGCAGATTCCCCTGACAGTCCAGCAGAACCAAGTGAACCCAAAAATGGTGCAGAACATCAAATCAGAAGCCACAGACACTGAGGTGGTTACGAAACTGGAAGCTCCAAGTGCAATTAAGACAGAGGAGCCGGAGTGTTGAGTTACTAACGTCTGTTCTTTCCTTTCTCACCGCCTGAGAAGTTAGTTTGTACATTTCTTAAGTTCTTTTTTACTATAACTTGTAATAACCAGCAGCAGACTCTTGAAGGACGGTTCTTTGTTTTTGAGTCCTGAACGTGTCTTCACATCTCTCCCTGGGAACGGCAGCGGAGCCTCTTCAACTGGACCCAAACCGAGAGGTTCAGTAAGGAAAAGGCAACGGGACCAACTTTGATTACTACACAACGGATCACATGCACTGAGTCCCATTTGAGGATGAACATGAAAATGCAACACTAAACAAAACAAAACAAAAAAAAAAAGTAAATAAAAGGGATTACAACCAAAAATGTAAATAGAAAAGGAAACAGCGGAGAGTAAAGAAGGTTCTTTTTAAGAGTGTTCATTTCTACAGATGTTAAAAACCAGCATTTTCTTGTATTTAAAACTGGCATCACTGTGTGAAGAAAGCGTGAGTGGACGAGAGGAAGGAGATGTGGGCTCTCGTTAGGAACGATATCAGTCATGTTTGTATATATTTATATAACTATATATATATATATCTTTACAGTTTACGGAGCTAACGGTAACAGACAGCCTTAGGTTTTAATTTGAAATGTTTCTTTGCCTGAACAGGAAGCTGTTTGTTTTTTGTTTTGTTTTTTTTTCTTTTGATACTTTGTACCATGCACAGTGTTATTGAAACTCTGAACTGTTGGACTTTTTTTTTTCTTTTTTTCCCCTCTGCCTCGGTTTGGCTGCTGATGCTGGTGTAGGTTGACACTCGTCCACAGTGTGCTTGCAGTGTGTCCTTCAGCGTCTCTTAAAAAACTCCCCCTGCCCCCAAACCCACATGTGGAAAATTGATTTATTACGAGTTTTTAAATTTACTTGTTAGTGCAGAATGTTCTGCAGGCAGGCTGCATGCATATGCAATAAAGTAAGAATGAATCTGAGCCAATGCATGCTGCCACATCTTTACAGAAAGTCAGCATTCGTCATTTCAATAATCATAAAAGGCATCAAATTATGCAAAACGGCTGCAGGGCATGTACAGCTACAACCACTGTGGATCCCCCTGATCACTTTCATAACAGAGGGTCAATGTGTCAGTCTGCCGTGTTGGTCCTGCCGCAGCATTTCAATAGTTTAGTTTTTCTGAAAAGAGGGAAGATCGTCAGTGTTCAGACTGAACTGTTTGTATATTCAACATTTGAAGCATATTCTATTTTGTTGTACTCTTGTTTCAAAGTGTATTAAAGTAGATTTTACTGAAATACAAAGACTTGATAACCTGTGGGGGGCTTTGAGATTGTACATCTTTGGTTCCTTAACTTTGCCGTATGCAGTTGAGATAAAAGCAGTATGAGCAAACATAACTTTACAAACTTATCAGATGAGACACTGAGGATTTCTGTGGTTTCTTTGCACATTTTTACCATTCAGTTTACCTTTACTCAAACTAAAAAAAAAAAAAAAAAGAAACCAAGAAGAAAATCATTCAAAGGTTCCTCTGAATTTTCTGACCTCTTAACTACAATCAACCTGACGCAACAATCAGGTTAGGGCGTCTCTAACCCTACGTTAGCGTGTTTGTATGGCAGATTCAGTGACTGTCTAAAATTTAGACAGACACCAAATGTCTGAAAGCTTTTCAAAGTACAAAGACTAAAATGCTTAAAAAAATCTATGAAAACTACACATTATCTGGCGAAGACACTTTATTTACTTTCAGTATTATATGATGGTAGTATCAAGCAGTATGCTTATTACAGTCTGATTTCAGTATTTCGTAAAAAAAAAGAAAACGAAGTTCATGTATGAGCAGCTTGATTGCTGATGAAGGTATGAGACGATCAGCTGGTGCAGACCTAGTTCAGGCAGGAAGACTTGCGATGCATTTATCTCTTCAACCTCAACACTGCAACATTTCAGTCACTTCACACTCGAGGCCTCCTGTCTTCTCATCTTCACCCGTTCACTCACATTCGGCTTCCAGGCTTTCTGTGGAGTGAATCAGCGAGGGAGAACCCCTCAAGTCCAAGGAATCGGCGTTTCCCCATCGACGAGCCAGCCTCTCATTCTTTCTCCCTGAAGCTGAAGTCGCAAACCAGAGAGAGGTGGTCGGATGGATAGCTGTAGGATGGAAGCCTGTTGGGTCCGATTTGCTTCTCGTCCAGCATGTCCAGAACAGCGTCCACTCTCAGTGTGTCTTTAGTGTACCAGATGTAGTCCAGCGTGCAGCAGCACTCCCCGGTGCCCCGGATCTTCCACGTCGTGTACTCCGGCTCGCTCACGCCGTCCTGACTGAGCTTCTTATAGGCAGAGTCCAAACCCAGAGGGGAAGTGGCGAAGCGTCGGTACACTTCCTCCGATGGGACTGCGTTAAAATCGCCACAAATCAGCAGGGGGACTTTGACGTTGGAGTTGCCGCCGCCGAGCTCCTGGACCAGATTCTGAAGGTGCCAGAGGAGGTCCGACCCCTGAGCGCTGCGGAACCACTCCCAGCCAGATCGGGCTTTTAGGTGAGTCGCAGCGACGCACACACACCTTCCACTGCTCCGACAACGCAGAGTCGTCACCACGGCAACCTGAGGCAAAGGTGCACCGTGTCAATAACATTTATTATATTCTTCACGAGACAAAAGGAAGAAATGTTATGGTGACACTTTATTTGAAGGGGTGTGCATAAGACTGACATGACACTGTCATAAACATGACATAACATCTGTCATGAGCATAAAGAAGCCTTTATGAATGTTTATGACAGTTGTCATGAAGTGTCATTTGGTAAATAATGACACTTTTATTGCAAAGTTGGCATTTTTAATGGACTTTCAATGCAACTTTTAGAGCAACTTTGCATTAAAAGTGTTATTTACCGAATGACACTTCATGACAACTGTCAAACATTCATAAAGACTCATGCATGTTCATGACAGATGTTATGTCATGAACATGACAGTGTCATGTCAGTCTTTTGCACACCCCTTCAAATAAAGTGTGACCAATGTTACCCACTTGATTTGTGGGGATCATCATGGCCGAGAGTCTGATGTTCACACTGTCCAGGAGCTCGAATCTGGACTCGTCAAAGAAGAGGGCACAGCCGTCGGGACCACTGTTGCCTTCTACGTCCAGGCATGGAGACCAGGGCTTCGGACAGAAATGGCTGCTGTAGCCCAGGTTCGCCAAAACCGGCTGGAAGGTGTCATAGTAGTGGTCTACCTCCTGCAGACAGAGGATGTGAGGTCGGTAGGCCAGAATCTCCTCCAGGATGAGGCTCCTCCTTCGGGACCAGCTGAGGGCCTCCAAGGGACACCGGACAAAGTTGTCAACTCCTACGCCCAGAGCTGAGGGTCAGAGGAAGGAGGAAGGTGTGAGCTGCCAAAAACCGCAGAGACACACCGAAAGGTTTCCAGACTCAAAGACCACTGCTACATGTTTCTGTATGGCAACCTGTCACTTCCACCTGACCTGTGGACCTCTGCAGCTCATCCAGAGTCACTGCTTAGCAAACGTCATCCCCAACAAGTCATTGGCACCAGAAATGCTACACCCTTTCCATTGTTAAATAACAGAATATGGGTGGGCAATATGGACTAAAAGTTTTATCACAGGATTTTGTGGTACTATTGTGATAACGATAAAAGTGATGATTGAACCTACTTTTAACTTCTGTTTTTTTTTTTAGGTAAATGTGGCTGTGAATGTATGACACAGCAATCACAGCCCAGTAAAACACACCCCTTTGTAATATGCTTTTTTAGGACACCAGTCATACATTCTCACTAACTGCATTTAATCATATTTTCAAATGTATTGATGTGTAATGACACTCACTGAAGAAACACTGGAGAAAATACTAGAAATA